TAAATTGTTCTGTCTTAAACTTTATAGTTAAAGCATAAAAAAACTTAGTTGATATATTAAATCTATAAATTTTAACTCAAAGTGTAACCTTATATCCATCCTGTGAATTCCACTCAATATAACCCATACTGCCCCCCTGATGCTGTCGTTGCAAGGTAAGGTGTGGCTCTAACCTCCAGCTCACACAGTGTGTTTCCAATGAAGTGCACTGACCTGTTATGATAATGAATAACTCAGAACAACAGCAGGATTCCAAACTATACCTTATATTCAAGTTAAGTCTTGAACTATGCTGTGATTTTAAGGTGGAAGCAGCAGAATAACCATGGCTTCCTGAACCAGCGTGGTCCTTTCATGTTGTGTAATATTTAATCTCTTAAATCTCCTCATCCAGTGCCCACTTAAGTAATTACTTTATTTTACAGTCAGAGACGCTGTGCAGTCAAAGAAATGGTTCTGATGCGGACATAGCGGGGAGCAAATGCATGCAGACCAGCAATAGGCTTGTATTTGACAGCAGGCATATATGGATACATCAGCAATTTATTGATGTTCACAAGCATTAAGAGGAATATCAATCGTTTAGTGAAGTTGACTGAGGGTTAACTGTAACGGTTCTCCCTACTCCTGATTTGAAACTGACTCAGAGCTCATCTGCTTAGCTAAATAAATATATTTGGGGGAACCTTTACCACCATAATTTCCTTTTTCTGTGTGTCCTTGCTGGTCTGTCCTAGGAGAAAGCCGTTCACACCATTTGTTTCCCTTCCACTGTTGCTACATGCTGGCTTCGTATGAGGGATTGCTGGGGAGCAACTGTCCAATCCCTCCAAGCTCCTGCTCTTACTGATAAATATATGACGCTTTTGAAAATAACAATAGGCCAAAAATGTTAAACTGATATTCCCACCAAAAAAAAAACGTTTACGTGTGATCAATAAAGGCTATATCAAGTAGAAAAATTACTTTTTCCTGTGAAATTTAGTACTTAAATCTATATTTGTGTTTTATATTAACTTATAATTTCTCTTTGTTGTACTATCCTTAATAAAGTCTTTGTTCTAACATCAGGGGTTTTATTTCATCCCATATTGTCAGAATTGGTATTCCCATCATCTCTACACATCTAACATAGGAATACCGGTATACAAATTTTTCAGATTATGTTTAGACACAAGGCTTGAACTACATCAACCATAGTGTTTGCTGTAGAGTTTATAGAGCTGTCTGTCCCTGCTTTAATTTGACTCCTCTGTCTGAATTGGACCTAAAGTGCCTGCGGTCGCTGGGGAGCAGTGTGACGTCTTTGGTCTTTGCTCAGGGACCCAGAGTGGAAGTCAGTTCATTATGCAAGTGGCAAAGATTTGGGAATGGAAAGATAGCGGGATCCTCGATCTAAGATCTAAGTGTGATGTTTGATAATATTTTGACATCAATGCCTTGAGCCATGTCTCCTCAGATACAAATGTGTGTGAGGTAATGATGTGATGATGTGGCATATGGAAGTTCTATAAAATGCTTCTTTAAAGGTATAGTGGAGGATTTTTGTGAATTTTAAAAAAAAAAAGACCCGCCCTCTGCACTTAAAAAAAATGCACATGCACAATCAAATACCCGCTACCGAGAGGAAACACGAGCCCATTTCTCCTCGTGCACGCTCTATTTAAAAGTTGCTGTTTGCATCACTCATACAAGCTCACTTTCAAAAAGAAGATTTAAACATTTTCCACATTGTCAGACTCACCACCAGTAGGTGAAAATGGGGTCTTACTTAAACATATCACCAGAATGATTGACAATTAGGAGGACCACTTATTTTGATGATCCACACAGAAGACCCAACTTCAACGAGAAGCGAGCCCAGTTGGTAAGTGCCACCTTCTATAACTCAAAGCAACTTCTCTGATCTGAGTAAGATTATAATACCTGTCAAAATCTGTTGTTATGTTTGATGGTTATATGCATTGCTGAATGAGATTGAAAGAGTTAGGGTTTGAATAACCGGAGAGAGAAAGCTTCACGGTGTAAACACAGAGCTTTCCATAACACTGCAAAGTCAGTAGCTAGATACAATCTGCTGGGTTTACTTTGACCAAAACCTTTCCAACCAATCTGTATGATTTAACAAAATTTACTCTGTAAAAACACCTGGAGATGGTATGTGTTGTAAATTGGCACTATGTAAATAAAGTGTGTTGAACATAAAATCTGAAAACACCAAAAAAAAATCTACATCTACTTAATCTGTGTACGTTATTTTCATTCTGATTATTAATTAGCAGTATCTTCTAGCTAAATGTTGGACTAATCATAGCCAGTTCCATACTGTCCACCCCTGGATCCCTTTGACCAGCTCATTTAATTATGTTGAAGCAGCAGTTTCTCCTAAACCAGAGGTCATGGATTATTGGACCGCGGTCCCGATCCAGACCCACCTGCTGGCTAATCTGGACCCAACCTAATTTAAAACATTTATAAATTACAGCTTGTTGTCCAACGACAGTGTCTAAACGTCACTTGCGCCGCTTCTCCTGTTTGTATGATAAAGCTATCCAGAGCGTCCGGCACCAGGCTGCACGTGATGCAAATTAGCCAATGAGCTGTATCAGTCAGGGCCACTGCTGCATGCTCAAAGATCACCCTGCCAATTTATAGTATGGTTGGCTCAACCTGCTGCTGTGAAGCAGGATTCTCCATCATGAACAGAATCAAAAATAAATATGGATCCAGGCTCAAAATGAGCACCTTGATCCTTAAACACCTGCATTTCATTTCAGCGATGAATTATGTTTAAAGTAACATAATTAAAAATGTCTCCAGACCTTTATTGGTTGTTGATCTTCTTTATTCGGACCCCGCTGATTTTTAATTGGTTACCCGTCCTAAATATTTTATGTCTTCCTCAGAAAAAGTTCAATAGTTATGGTGTGTCTACTTAGCTAGTGAGCATAAACGAGAAATAAAAATCAATGAGAATAAAGAGCTCAAACCAGGCCACGTCTACTGAGGCATTGATTTTGGAGATTGAGAAAGGATTGAAGGAAAGTCGATATACTCGCTTCTGGTTTATGGGTTTGGATGATCTTGCTGAAAGGCCAAGTGAAGGTTTCTGACATTAAAGTTTTGTTCAAACCTCATGGATTCTCTAGAGTTCCTGACATCATTCACTTTATCATTTTCCAAAGGCGTTTAGAAGAGAAACAGGCCCACAGCATCATGGATCCTCCATCATACTGAGCAGTGGATTTTTTTCCCCTCATTCCTCCTTTAACTCCAGACCAACATGAAGCATTTGTTACCAAAAACCACAGGCTCACCTGACAGAAAGCAAAGCTTTCGTTTAAAGCCCCAGTAGCATTTAGCTAACCATACAAGTTTACGTTTGTGATAGGTCAGGAAAACTAGTTGATATAAAGCAACTCTTTGCTAATGATATGAGCAATGAGCTTTGGAGATTTTTAGTTTTGCTTTCACCATCCTCCTCTCACTGTGTGCATAGATATGAAATTTGGGTCTTAGTCCAGCCTTGTTTCGTCACCGTTTATGGGAACTTTTTTTTTGTAGCCATTTCCTGACTTATGAATGCCAAGACACCTCCTTTACTTGAATGGCATCTTGTCTTGACTTTCCTATTTTGAAGACTGGCAAAGAGAATGAAGCCTGTGTCATCACATTTATACCCAAGGAGAACAGGGAATTAAGAGAAATACACATTTTATTGCACAAATATATTGAAAATTTCTTTAGCAGAGTTGCAAACATGTCTTTCTTTGTTTGTACAGATTGGTCGCAAGGATAAAACTCCTTATATATGAGGCATTGGTTAGAGATTTCTGGCACATAGCTGTAAGGAACACATCTTGACCAGAAAAAGATTTCAAACCTCCACACTTCTGCCTCTGAAATCCTGTGTCCATTATATCAGGTACTCTTTACGACTTGATGGGAAATATAGACAGTAGATCACCAGTTTATGTGAAAGAAGGTGTGATAGTGGAGCTGGTCTGTGTGATTCTGCATCCTCCTTGAAGACAGTGTGTGTGTTTTTTTTTTTGGGTCTGGTTGTTAATAACAGTCCACTATGACCTCCTGGCCCGGGTCAGAGTTGGGATTTGAAGCAGCGGTACTGGCTGTCAGGATGTCCTGCAGCAGAGAGAGAGGAGAGTTGTAGATGTGGTCGCTGCTCTGCATCAGGACGCTCAGCTTCTTGTCTAAATCCAGGGTCCTCAACACCTCACACACACTGACACACACAGCGTCACCATCAGTACATGGGGTTTCCTCCGCTGCTTCATCGCGGCTTTCAGACCCAACATGAGGAGCTCCCTGAGTGTGGGCGTCCTTATTCCCTCTCATCTCCTGTACCCAGCTCTGTCCAGGCAGCATACAGGAAACTCTGGGGTCTGCTGCGTTCACCAACAGAGAACTAACCGTGTCTCTGAGTTTTATCAGCAGCTGACAGGCCTTCAGAGCAACTGGTCTGTCACAGTCAACTAGACCACAGAGCAAAGCTGGGACCACTCCTTGATCCACCAGACTGTTCAAGCTGCAGAGCAGATCAGATTCATTTTCCCCTGCATGACATGTGTGGGGTTGGTTAGATATTACAGCGTAGGGATGAAGAGGAAGGCGCTCTGGAAAGGTTTTGTCCAGCAGCAGCTCTGCCAGCTCCAGGGTGTGAAGTTTGACCTCCCAGTCTAGGTCAGCGACGCCCTGAGAGAGGACGGATGGGACAGACTGCATGAGGAGCGAGCAGGAGGTAGGTGAGGGACAGGAGGAGAACCAGGCAGTAAAGAACTTTACAACAGCCCTCCTGGCAAATCCCTCTGAGTCCTGGGAGAGAATTTCCTGGAGCTGAGTAACTATTTCCTCCTAAATGGCACAAAATAGATTAGGTTACTGCAAGGCGAGTCAAAATGGGACAGGAAAAGAAAATCGGCACTGCAATGCTGCCTACCTGCTCCTGTGTTAGTGCTGCCCCCTGCTGCCAGCTGAATGTCAGTGTCTGTGCCAGTGTGGCTATGGAGCTGGCTCTGACGTAACTCTCTGGATCCTGCAGTGCCTCCTTGAGGAGAGGAATGGTAAAGCTGCAGCTGCCCAGCAGAGTTTTTAACGGTTCTCTCTCCTCTCCAATGGGACACACCTCTGCGAGATGACCCAAGAACTCCACCGTGGAGTCTCTCGCCTCCCAGCGAATGTCACAAGCACGCTTCCTCACCGCCTGCATGAGACCTAGAAGGAGGAGAGCGGTAAATAACTCCTCTCTATGTATGGCTACTGTCCCAGAGAGGGAATCTAGGAGCTCTACCTTCTCTGAGCTGGTCAGTAATGGATGAGAAGTCCCTGCAAACACCTATCCAGTTTATCAAAGCCTTGTATGACTTCTGGAGCACCTGGGGCACAAAGATTAGGTTATTAGAAAGGTATAAAAATAGACCATAACAAACAGAAAAATAAAATGCATCAACATGACAGACATAAAAGGTATTCGATGACTTAATAAGAGCTACAAGCTCACAGACTAAAACTGCCTCACTGTAGATGCTGCTGCAAGACAATGAGGAAGGAAAAGGGAGGAGCATAAAATATGTAGTCTACTGATAATTCAAGCTGCTTATGGTGTCTTATCATTTTGTGAAAACTCATAGAGTTTAATGGGAATATCGAAGCAAGTCGCATGACACACTGACAGACAGCTGCAGCAGCCAATTCAATCTATATCAATGACAAATTCATTGAAATGAATGGATAACAAAATGCTAGACAAAATATTAGTGACAGCCTCTGCAACGTCGGTCTGGAATTTCTAGGGACGCACAGCAGTTTCCTTCCAAAGCGCTAGGGGGAGCCTATTGAGAACTCGCGACAACTTCGGCGGAGGGTCACAGAACTTGTACGACGGCACCGGCGGGAGTGCTTATTTTCCAAAACAACATGTCCGAGGCATCATACAAGTGGTTGTACTTCCAAACCTCCTCGATCAACCTTTCGTCGTGGTTATCCATTGTTGTTATTACTCCTCAGGTTTAAAAAAATGCATGCCCCGGCACCGATTTGATTAGGACGACCACAGACAGCCGGAAAGGCATACCTAGGACCGATCACAGCTTTTTTTGTCTGCAAACTTCCGCTTGAGGTCTGTGCGGGTTTGCGACGGTCCGACGAGCCTCTGCGCGGGGGGCGTGGTCACGCACAGAAACAAATTTGACAGTTGCAGAGGCTATGCGTCAGAAGAATAAATTGGCCTTTAGATTAATCAGGGACTTTAACAGCGATTGGATCCAAACCTCACAACAACAAAAAAAGGATCCTAGTCCGGGACCCTGCTGAGCACCGAAACTAACTAACTAGGAGTACAGATGGGTGCAAAGATTTATTATCTTTTAATAAATCGACCGTTTCACTGCAGGAATAATTTATTGAAAAACATAAGAGAGGGAAATCAGCTGGCAGCTAGAATCTGACACACCTTCATGTAAAGGTTCACTGATGTCTCCCCACCTGATAAATGAGACTTCTTGAAATGTTTTATGATGTGTGACTACGATCAAACAAAGGATTAAACACACAAAAACTCACGGTTGGGTCAGAATCAGGACTGTTCAGATATTCAGTCAGAAGCTTGAAGACGTCAGCCAGCAGGGCCTCTGCTTCTAAGAAAACACAAGAACAGGACAGGATAAAAG